AAAAGGAACAAAGAAAGGTGACCCTGGCAGTTTTCTTAGCTTGCTGCCTGGAGAGCTTTCCTGCCATATACTACGGAGAGCAGGAGGTGACCTAGGCAGGGTCCAGCAATGACCTTACGTTGAGAAGACAGGTAGGTGTCAGGGGAGCTCAAGGCAGCAAGAATTAGCAAAGGACTACAGAAAAGTGAAGACCCTCACAGACAGTAAAAATCAGGAAACCTGTAGCACCACTGTGCTCAACAGCATGGGTGAGGGAGGAAAAGACTTGAGACAAAGGGAACAATCACTGGGGAGGAGAGCGCACAACTGCCAGAGCTCACATGAGACCGACCATGCTGGATTCCCTCCCTCCCTCCCCAGTCTGTCAGTCACGAGGCAGAGCATTCACTAGTGGGGGAAACACTGCTTTTAGGCCAATGCTGGACCCACCCAACAAATCATGACAACAATCCCCCAAAGAAAAGACGTGCAGGTAGCATAACCTCATCCCAGAACAAATAATTCATTACAGAAATAAGGAGCATCCCACCATCCAACAAGGCAGAAATGCATTAACGTGTGACATTCAATAAAAGATTATCAGGTAAGCCAGCAAACAAACAAATCCAAATCATAATGAGGACAACCAGGCCAGAGGAACTGACACTACCGGCAGACGAGCGCATTAAAAGCTATCCTAACTTTTCTCCAGATGCTCAAGAAGTAAAACCAGAATAAGCGGGGTAGCAGGTGACACTGGAAGATGCTATGGAAAGCATATTTTTTAGAGATTATTTTAGTTGTTGAAAGTAGAAGATAGTTACTGCCTGTTAATACTTCATTTGCATTTTCTGTAACTTTCTGAAGATTCCTCATGTATATCAAATTTTGTTTAACTATCTCAATCTGTTGGTGAAATACCGTGTTTCTACCTTTTAGCTACTGCAATTTATGCTGCGATTAACATTAGTTATGAGCATCTAAATTTTGTTTTTTTAAATATATTTTTTTGTATAGGTTTAAAAGTGTAAATGCCGGCTCACATGGTAATTTTCTGTTTGGCTTTTTGAAAAACTTCCAAGCTGTTTTCTACATTATCATACATGCTCACCAGCAATACATCAGGATTCCCTTTTTGCCATATTCTCTCCCACATTTGTTATTCCTGTTTCTTTTTAAAAATTGTATCCCTAACAACCAGGTAGAAAGTGGCAACTCCTTATGATTTTGATTTCCATTTCTTTGGCAACTCATGATTTTGAACATTTCTGTATGTGTTTATTGGCCCTTATTTGCAGAATTGTCTATTCATATTTTCATCCATTTCTAGGTTGTAATTCTCCATATAAGTCAAACATTATACAATTATCAGTTATATGATTTTCAAATACTTTCTCACACTGTGTATCTGCCTGATCTCACTTCCTTGAGAAAGCATTCAGATGCACCAAGGTTTGTCATCAAGCTTAGTTCATGTGCTTTCCTAGTTGTTATTCGTGCTTTTGCTGTACGTGTAACAAACCAGCGCTTAAACCAAAGTCAGAAAGATGTATCTGCATGTGTTCTATTAACGTTTCCGTGGCGGTAGCATATATGTAGGGTCAGGGATCCATTCTGCATTTATCTTAGTATAAGTATGTGATAAAAGATCCAACTTCATTCTTGTCCATGTGGAAAGTCAGTTTTCTCACACATTCTGTAGGAAAATTCTCTTGCAGAATATTAGTTGCTTCATAGATTTCTGGGTTCTTCGTAGAATTCTGTAGATATCTAGATCCTCAATTCTATCCTGTTGGTCTCTGTTTCTGATGTTATGCCTTTACCATACTGCTTGCATCACTGCAGCTTTGTAGTAAGTTTTAAAATCAAGAAGTCTGACTTTTTCAACTTCATCCCTCTTCAAGATCGCATCAGTCATCCTGGACCCTCATTATTTTCCATACACATTCTAGGATCAGTTTTTCCACGTTTGCAAACGAGACTGCTAGAATTTTCAGAGTAACTAAGTGGAAGCTGCAAATAGTTTAGGAGTATTGACATCTACATAAATCGCAATGCTTCTATTCATGAAAATATACCATATTCATTCATTTTTTTTTTCTAACAAAAAGTGAGTTCTGAGCAAGTCATTCAATGATTTCAGTGACTTTATGCCTATCTTCACGGACTCACATGGCTTACATTTCTATCACTCATGTTCCCAGACTTCAACTGTATCCTTTATTTATCCAACCGATACTGTACTGCAGGACAACTGATTAGATCTGTAGGAAAACTTCCGATTAAAGAGAGGACATCAGGAAGCCTTCCTTGCCAGTGTGGAGCCAGGGCCAGCTGCCATCGTGTCAGGTATCCTCCAGAAGCAGTCCATAAGGACATGCACAGGCTGGAAACTCCTGGTCCTCAGGTTTGGATAACGGATCAAAGAGAGGTGCTTCCTCCCCCAGGCAGGGGAACAGAAACTAACAAACCAAGGAAAGGCACCTGCTAGACAAACTGTTTATTAGTAAACTCTTACTGTCGATCCATAAATGTCTCAAAGTCTCCTCCCTATGCCGAATGACCCTCAGTCCTTAAGTCTGACGCTGTTAAGGAGCCTCGACTACTGACCCCCAGTGGGTAGTCCACACGCGTTAATGCCAGCTCTGTGCACGGTACAGCAAACAAGTGCCACGACAGAAGGGGGGGAAACTATTTACAACTAATGCACTCTCATGGAGAAGAGCACGGGTATAAGTATACTTAGTTTATTCCACTGAATTTTTAAAACAAGTGAATTTTCCATGCACCAACAGTCACTCTAAATTTCATAAACTCTTTCCTGAAAGTTGTCGGAAGGTGCTGGTGTGTTCGGGTTGTTAGCCTCCTCACTCCCAGGGCTGAGTGAGAGCAGTGCGGGGTCACTAGAGAGACCTGGGGGTGCTGTGATGCTCTCCACACTGCTGTCCTAGCGGACATCTCTCAGCAAATAAAGCGCAGAGTATGTATTCCTAAGATACGTGCGTCTACAACTTACACACTCCCGTAACACTTATTGGTTCAATAAAATATAATTCTGATTTGGCTTTTGAATGGAATTCCAGGGCCTTCCGTATTCAGTGGGCCACCTTGTACGCTTTAATGAAGACTGCTGCTGTGGAGTACCAGAAACAAACGAAGGCAGAGGCGAAGCGTTCTGTTCCTCACGATGTTCTCCCTGTCGCTGCTTCTCAGAGACCTGAAGATTCTTCTTCTTTCTCGGTACACTCATTTTTTTGTTCTTGTTTTGTTACTATCAAGGATGAAATGTTTCACTAGTTGGTTCATTGTAGGAGAGATCCTCAAGGGTGGCTCTAACATTAAAGCCAGATTACTAACAGTGACACACAGCATGCAAGGGAAGAATACAGGAATACAAGGGGAGAAGAGCAGTGTGGTAGTTGGCCCTCAGGAGGAGTTGGGGAAAAAATCTGCCCGGTGGGGTGCTGGAAGCTAGACCACAGTCAGAGCCAGGCGTGGAGATCTGAAGTGTGGAATGGGCACTTGGCCTAGAAGATGACTTGCCTGTGTCTCACACGGGGCTGCCAGGGAAAACCACCAAGCTCTGCTCCCGACCTGAGCAGATCCCAGAGGGGGATCGGGGCAGAGTGGCAATGGTTCAAAAGATGAGGCTCCTGCCCTCTACGTGCGAGACCTGAGTTCCACGGTACTGGCGTTAGGCCTGATACACATGGGAGGAACGAACCAAAAGGTGGGAAGCTCATTTCATCTGTGTCTCTGCTTCTGAAACAAATACGGTAAAAGAAAGAAAAAGAAAGAGAGAAAAGGAAAAGGAAGGAAGGAAGGAAGGAAGGAAGGAAGGAAGGAAGGAAGGAAGGAAGGAGAGAGAAAAAGAAAGAAGGAAGGAAAGAAAAGAAAGAAAGAAAGAAAGAAAGAAAGAAAGAAAGAAAGAAAGAAAGAAAGAAAGAAAGAAAGAAAAGAGAGAAGGAGTGGAGGAGGGAGGGAGGGAAGGAGGGAGGGAGGAAGGAGAGGAAAGAAAAAGAAAAAAGAAAAAAAGGGCCCGGTGCGGTGGCCTAGTGGCTAAAGTCCTAGCCTAGAATGCGCCAGGATCACATATGGGCGCCGGTTCTAATCCCTCTGGCTCCACTTCCCATCCAGCTCCCTGCTTGTGGCTTGGGATGGCCCAATTCCTTGGGATTGTGCACCCGTGTGGGAGACCTGGAAGAAGTTCCTGGCTCCTGGCTTCTGGCTCCTGGCTCCTGGCTCCTGGCTTTGGACTGGCACAGCACCAGCCTTTGTGCTCACTTGGGGAGTGAATCAAGGGTCGGAAGATCTTCCTCTCTGTCTCTCCTCCTCTCTGTATATCTGACTTTGCAATAAAAATAAATAAATCTTAAAGAAAAAAGAAAACCGGTTCATGTACCAGCTGCTCCACTTCCCACCTAGCTCCCTGCTTATAAACTTGGAAAATACAGTATGATGGCCCAAAGTCTGGAGACCCTGCACCTGCATGAGAGAACTGGAAGAAGTTCCTGCTTCCTTCCTTGTGATAGGCTCAGCTGCAGCCATGGCAGCCACTTGGGGAGCGAACCTGCAGATGGAAGATCTTTCTCCCTGTCCCTCCTTCTCTCCATAAATCTGATCTGCCTTTCCCATAAAAATAAAAACATGTTTTTAAAAGTCTGATTATGTTCTCACAAGGCTTTCCCCACAGAAGCCCCTCCTTATTGTTATGCCCAAAGAAATAACACACAGTCATCCTCTAATCGATGTGAATTCCCCAGCTGTATCACTGTCTGCCACTCCTTTCACTTGTAATATTAATAACAAAGGTGTCACTGCTGCTTTTTGTTCTACAGAAACAAATATTCCCATCTATGAAACATTTTGTTTGTTTTTTTCAAACAACAACAACAAAAAAGAGCAGCAAGAAAGTGAGAACTGACACTTGTTGCATTCTTGTGTACGCAGCACGACGCACAAGGAGCAGAGGGCACGCAGCGGAGACCTGAGTCAAGGGCGTGTGGCCAAGCCGTTCTTACCTCACTGAGCCTTTCCCGTGAGCTGCTCCGGTGGAAGCCCTTGGATTCTCCGCTGGCACTTTCGCTGTCACTGTCTCTGCAGCTGTTCTGCCCTGGTTTGAGCTGAAAGAAAAAGCAAGAGTACAAAGGGAAGTCAGTGTCTTGATACAACTGTGCCTTAACACTTGTTGCCCTGCATTTCAGGCAGCTCCTTGCCATCTCATGTTTACAATGCCAAGATGTTACCAACCCAGGTGCACGTCAACTGATGACAGATCAAGCAAATGTGATATTGTGGGTGCCCCTGGATCTCTGCCTGCTGTCTGGTGGGTGTAACCCACTGCCTACCTGCCAGCCTATGTAGCCTGTGACATGGCTAAAGGGATAGACGCGACTTTTAGCCTATTACCGTGCCATTCTTGGGTGGTGGGACTGGCAGGAGACACCCTTTAGCTTTCCCCTTTCTTGGTGTGTATAAGCTTGTGCTTGCATTACAATAGACAGACATTCTCCATCAGTCTGTCTTCAGTGGTTCTTGCAGACGAACACTGTGGCGTCACCCCCTCGGTGGCTTTTGGGGCACGCTGGCAGGAAAAAAACCCCAAGAGGTATGTATACACTATGACATGCTACTCATCCACAGAAACGAAATTTTACCTTTGCAACCAAATGGACCCATCTGGAAACAATTATACTTAGTGAAATACATATTCTCTCTGCTCTATGACAACACACAGAACACAAGAAATGCAATCTCTACATGAGATCCTTACATTTTTCTGTCATCTTACTTTTACCGATCCGTTGCAATGCTAAGTCTGTTACTATGGCGTGAACAAATACACTAACATAGTAATTTGTGAAAAAAATAAGGGAGTAGTTGGGAGGAAGATGGAGGATGGAGAGGGAGGAACGTAAATCTAAATCTGTATCATAAAAATACGTGAAATCTATCCATTTCAAAAATAAAACGAGCAAGCAGTCAAGCTCTCAGTCTCTACCACCATCGACCAAGTGCCCACAAGCTGCTGCCTGGACAGAGCTAAGCATGGCAGTGTGGCGAAGGGAGCCAGCAGGAGCCAGCAGGCTGGAGCTAAACTAAACACCCCTGGATCTGATGAAGTTCATCAACTTGGAAGTAGTTTTCACTTGTATTTTCTTCTTATGCTCCACCGTGATTTTTTTTTCCAACAATACAGACACCCCAAAATACTAAAGGTATGATACAGCAACCATGACTTCCCGGCTCACTGTGTCTGCTCTCATTTCAAAAACATAAACAAAACACATCAAAAGCCGAGGATCTCCTCTTGCGAGAAAACATGGTAAGACGCTGAGAAGTTGCCCTTTAGTCACCGGGAATGCATGTAATGACCTTGCTTGCTTTGACAACATTCTGGAGGACTTAGGCCATCTTTTTTTAAAGGACCGATTAAAGACATACAGCTTCAGTAAGTTAAATCAGCCCTCAGTCAACCACTACACACTTAGTGCCTTCTTTGTGTTGGTTCAAAGTACTGGGAGACATACTACCAAACACTGGGGAAAAAAAAAAACTTGAATAAACTGTTTCATTTTGATTTGCACACATTTACCCAGTTGTGGTACGGGTAACATATGGGATGTTCCAAACACGCAATCCAACAGCTCTGAAATTCATTTAAGAACAACAACAACAACAACAAAACGCAACTGAAAACCACTGGTCTATATGAGGCCCTGGGTCACACATACCCACATGCGGACGCTACGTTTATGACAACCATTGCCAACGACATGTTCAGAGTGTCTGGGTTCAAGTTGCGCCTCTAGCCTAGATTCCAGAAAGCACCCCGAGAGGCAGCGACCGGCAGGTCAAGGACATGGTCCTTTCATTTCCAAGGAGAAAACCTGGACTGTGTTCCTGCTTTCTGGCCCTGGCTTGAAGCGTCTCAGCAGCTGTCAGTGCAGATTAGTCACCATCAGCGGAAGGGAGATCTCTATTTCTGCTTTCCAAATACATAAATATTTAAGTAAATGAATGCCAATTTTTTTTTTTAAAGACTACAGATTCTAATTTTGGTCACATCACTCACTTCATTTCTCAAATCTCTAAAACTTCAGCCTTTCTACAATCCCTCTCTTACATTCTGTTCTAAAGTCCCTTTGTTTTTGTTTCCAGGAAGGTTCTGTAATGGAGATCAGAGAACTGATATCAGCTTGACTCTGTATCTTCCTAAGACCTTAAGTCTTTTATTTTCTTCCATGTTGAAGCTGTGCCCACTAACTCTAGATCAGATGCCAAGCTGTAAAAGCTTCTGCTTATACACTGGAATTAAAGTACAAGATACCATCTCTTGGGGCCAGCACAATAGCCCAGTGACAAAAGTCCTCACCAAGCATGTGCCAGGATCCCATATGGGCACTAGTTTATGTCCCAGCTGCTCCACTTCCCATTCAGCTTCCTGCTGGTGACCTGGAAAAGCAGTCGACACTAGCCCAGAACCTTGAGACCCTGCACCCGAATGGGAGACCCCAAAGCAGCTCCTGGCTTCTGGCTTCAGATCAGCTAAGTTCTGGCCATTATGGTCACTTGGGGATGAACCAGAAGATAGAAGCTCTTTCTCTTGCCATCGCAAAGATACTTAAAGTGAACATGACCCCTTCTCCCTCTTCTCCCATGCTTGAACATGATGTGTCCATTCCTGCCCCCAGATCATTTCGCAGTCGCTCCTGTCCTTCTGAAATGTTTAACTTTGCTTCTTCAAGATATCTAAAGACTCAGATTTTAACTCCTCCACTATGATCGTTGAAGATTTCTTCCTCTCTATGTTTATTGTTTTCAATATGCCTTCAAAGCTTAGCTAATACGTCATTCTTTGTTAAACACTTTTAGTAACTATGATACATTTCAAGTTCAAAAGGCCTTTCCTAAAGTTGTTTTGGTATTATAGTTATATTGGTAATAAAATCTGTAAAGAAGGTACAGCTTTTACAGAGGTGTTTCTCTGAGCTATAGCTCCAGTGTACTAATGTAGAAACAAAGAAAGTAAGGAGCATGCCCAACTACTGGGGAGATTTAGTTTAAACCCACGTCCCTGCAGCCTTATATTAAACAAAAGCAACACACAAACTTCACACACACACACACACCCCGCTATAGTTTCTCACATCCTTCTGAGAATTAAGGTGTAAGAGTAACAAGGCTTTTCTGAATATCCAACCGCTTAACGAAATCTGGACATTGCACTTGGGAGATTTTCCATGTTTTCTGATGAAAGGTAAGTGATGGTTTTAAACAAGGCCCCCAAACAGACTTCAGTGGCCCTGATGCAAATTACCTTATTGTTGATTTAGGTTAAGAGCAAAACCCAAGGACTAAAAACTGAAGCAAATTGCTAGTCTTCCCGCTACCTTGCCAGCAAAAGCACTTCAGCAAATTCTCTTCAGTCTTACATAAAATGCACCCCTACCCTACCCCTTTCGCCGCCAAAGCCTATCTCAAGTTTAAAGGAAATTCAGGATTTGAAGTTGTCAGACAGCTCAATATTTCAAAGAACTGGACTGACTATAGTAAGTACTAAAGCTAAACCACAAGATTTCAGGCAAAAAAAAAAAAAGTGTTCATTCCTAATCCCCTGAATATATTTTCAAACTGGCATTTTCAGCCACATCCAATGGATCATTTTGCGTAGCGTAACTACCCACAAATTGTAATCCTTCACCTTCGATTCCCAGCGATTACCTACAACCAAGAGACATTACAAAGGCCAGGTGCCAGCTTAAGCATTTAAAGACCTAAGAAAAATTGATCTGCTTGCATTGATTTGTCCCAGTATTCAGGGAGGGTTATTATAAGCAGCTTAGTTATAACTGCAGCAAAGTCACTTCTTACTATCAGCCTGTAGATACCTCAAGACATTGTTTATTTAAAAATTACTATAATCCATGCCTTAATTTGAGAAACTTATTCCCATTGGACGTGAGCATTTCAACAGAGATGACAAAATGAAACGGGAAAAATCTCACACCAGCAACATTAATCTAATCCATAAAACCGACTTTTATAGAATATCAGGAGCTAGCTTTGCGTTACATTTCACTATCAACTGTCTGTCCTCCTAACTTTGAAATCATGATCTCATTATACTGTGAACCACTGTTAATGGCTGATTAGGAAAATAATGATCTATGTTTTCATCTCAGTTAATGACCATGGAACAAGGTCTTCTCGCCCTGAGCGGTGTGAGCGAGGAGTGATTCTGTGAACATAAGTCAAGTATTAGTGAGCTCACTTCATCTCCACTCAAGCTTTGCAAAGTTCAAACAGATGACAGAGGCTCAGCAGGTATCATCAACCCACTGGACAATTTTTATAGAAGGATAAATTATATGGCGAAGGTATCTTTATCTGGAAATGGGGAGGAATGACGTGAATGACACATCCTTCCAGTGTCGATTCTTCAAATTAGGATATCCTATTTCAGACAACAGAGTTTTCCTGTAGTGATCTAAATGGATTCTACAAACTGTTTTTAAACTGTCACTAAATTAAAAAAAAATCATTATTTTAAGTGAAAAAATGTTTATATATTCATAGGCTACATTACCTTAAAAGTAGTCAAGTATGTAATTCTACAGAAATATATTTTTCCTTTCTCGAATTAACATTGTACTCCAAATGTTCATATATTGGCTATTAGTTGTACTACTTTACTCATTAAGTTTTTAAAATATTTACTTTTTAAAAGTTCATGGACTTGTTCACCCCAGTCAGCTGCAATGATGAGGGGTCAGGAGCTTCTCCAGATCTCCCACAGGACTGGCAGAGACCTAAGTACCCAGGCCTCAGTGCCCACTGCTGCTCCCAGGCCAGGAGCAAGGAGCTGGTTCAGAAGTGGAACAGTTAGAAGTTAACCTGCGGGCCCAGCACGATAGTGTAGTGGTTACAGTCCTCGCCCTGTACGCACCAGGATCTCATATGGGCGCCGGTTCTAATCCCGGCAGCCCCACTTCCCATCCAGCTCCCTGCTTGTGGCCTGGGAAAGCAGTCGAGGACAGCCCAAAGCCTCGGGACCCTGCACCTGTGTGGGAGACCCAGAAGAGGCTCCTGGCTTTGGATTGGCTCAGCTCCAGCCATTGCG